GCTACCGGCCACCGCCTGATGAAGAACACTCGCAAGAACTGCTGGTTGATCGGAAAACCCACATATCACACATTTTCCTTGCACAGGGGGTACATGTTGCAGAATCAATGTCCACAATTACTTGTGCTTATTTTGCCCTAAACCCTCATTTGGTTTATACTTATATATAACTGGCTGAATTGATTCTACATTAATGCACAGGAAGTCTATTCAATTTATCCTAGAGGGTCGTCAGTCGAAAGTTGTTAGTGCTGGGTTTGGGGATTTTCTGAGCCACTTGCCCGTGGCCGATAGAGATAGGAAGTTGCTTGTCGCACTTGCGGAGCGATGGTGGGACTCAACAAACTCGTTCCACTTGCCTTTCGGAGAGATGACACTGACACCCTTGGACTTCACCTGTACAACCGGTGTTGCAGTGGGCGGGTTGCTCATTCCGTGGGATTACAATGTTAGGGAAAATGTCAATTACATCAACGAGCAATTGGGTTGGGTGCCAACTTTTGCTTCTGCCGGTGCCATCAGAGTTACCGATATATTGTCATTCTACAAAGACAAGGCCATTGACGAGAACGACGACGTCCAGCTGGCACATCTAACTAGAGCTTTCTTTCTCTTCATGCTTGGCCGCACTTTACTTAGCAACACGGCCGAAACAATTCACCTGTGCTGTCTGCCTGCGCTGGAGGACGTAGATCGTATAGGGGATTATAATTGGGGAGGGTCGGGGATGGCAACCTTATAAAGATTTATGTCCCCGACGACGGACGAAAAGCCTTGGCGGCTACAACTTCGTTTGGGAGGTAAGTCCAGAATTGCCTTCACTCTGTGTCAATTCGACATTACCATGTTCCGTTAAATAAACTTTTCAGGCAGTTAGTGTTCATCTCCAACGCTGGATATAATTTGTACAACCACGTGTAGGTGTGGGCCTATGAAATTTTTCAGTTAAGTCCGTATAAACTGAAACAGAACGAGAGGGACGTATTGCCCAGAATATGGCGATGCGCTCGTGTAATAGAGCCAGCCGACAATCACCGTTTACGGTCGAACATTTTCGCCACGCAATTGACACCATTAACCCTGAAAACGTTAGTTCCCGTACTTACGACATCTTACATTTTCTACCGCCTACGTGTTAACAGTTGTTATGAATTTGTTCCGCCTGTTCAACAAACCAATGTTACATCGTTTGTTAATTGTGTGTCATAGGTCAACTGGCTGCCCTTCCCTGCAATGGCATTGCCGAGTCGGTATCTCAAATCCAAGAAACTAACTGCAACGAGATTGCTTTTGGATGGCCCCATGGGACGATTTTACTACCTGGGCGAGAGAGTTATTAGGCAGGTGTATGCAGGTGTATGTGCAAAGCAACCTCCCCATCGGCCATCAGATATGTACAGCACTGATACAATTTCGAGAAACACGCTACATGATGTGCTTGATGGACTGCCTATTGCAAGCCTATACCCAGATCCCCCTCCATATGCTACGTATGACGAGTTTGTGCGTAGCAGGCTAATGAAACCAATGACTTCCTCCACGTTGCCACCTAGTGGGAAGGAGTGCGTAATTCATATATGTGACCAGTTGCCACTAAGTGAGGTTACAACACCGTCACTGAAACATCCAATTAATTACTCTCCCTGGTCTGTGTTGTGCATACAAACTGATGGATCACTGCAGCAGGAGAGCATTCACAGAGTTGGTGGCGATGTAATAGGATTGCCTCTTCCATGTGCTGTTGGTGATGTGGCATGGCATTCTTCGCCCTGTACTTCACTCGGCATTTAATTTTAGCAATTTGGGTAAAATTAATACAGCCATCTGTGTTGTTTCCGCTTAGGTTCCTAGACACTGGTACGAGGACCAGCTTGTTCAGTGCATGGGGCTCAGAAAGAAAGCCTTAGAAAAAAGTGCAGAAATATTTCGTTTGGCATCCAATGTGTCGGACAACTCACAAGTGGTGGACCAAAGGCTACATCAAATATAGGTAATTTTGGAAAGTGCATTGAAGCTCCAAAAGGGGACAGGGAAACGCTGCCTTCGCGGTGGAATTGGTGGCTGGGAATCCTGTCTTTCTAAGCGTCCGAACACAAGTGCCGGGACGGAGACATTTACAGATGACCTTGGTAGAGGCAAAACTCACGAATGTCAGGGAATTCATAATGTCAAAAACTGAACACCCATGGCCCATAACCGCAAACAAGGTTGTGTAGCCGGAGGAATGAGCATGCAAACTAATTGGGAGTCCCCAGCAACAAAGCCGAGCTGTGAGCAATCGCCACGTCTGTTGTGTACTTTTAATACAATTTAAAACTTGAACACCCACCACGGAAAATGTTAACAGTTCACAGATAATTGGTAACGTTGAACTTGTTTTTCTAAATTTATACCGTTTAACTGCTTCGATAGAAAATTTGTCACCGTCAATTTCCCACAACTAATTTATAGTCATGTTCTTATTTTTCGTCTGTCTCAAATTGTTCTTCACTTGCAATTGAAGTTTGCAGTGAAATTAAATATTTACAACAAAACAATTTAAATGCAAGTTGTTGTTACTATAAATCTATCATAATTACTGCATTACATTTTTCGGACTTATTTATATCATGACAGAAAAACCTTTTGTATGAATGCAACTCCAACATTATATCATGAGTTCAAGTTTCCACACAATTGTACAGTAATTAGTGTATTCAAGTTTCCACACGGTTGTACAGTAATTAGTGTGAGGGAGGCTGACGAAGCATTGCTACCTAAGTGGATTGTCCCAACAGGGTATACCAATTTTTGTTTAACTATGTCACCAAAAAAGCATCAGAGGTATCAAAGTTGTTCGGATGGAGTGTCAGTAAACATGTTGAATTTTTTCTACATGTTAATAGCAATTTAGATTACGGACATGACGCGGACATTGCATAATTGTTATAATAAGAAATTCTTTAATCGTGTGCCAACAAGTTACGTAAAATAGTAAACTCCAATGGAAATGTACAAATGATGTAAAAAATATTAATCGTAACTGATAGTTATTGGCTAATTAAATATATTATTACAAATGTATTCTTAAAGTTACTCGAACTAATTAATAATTTCTATTAGTAGATATGTATAATTATTAGTATAATTCATAATATTAATTATATTGGATAAATTAATATACATATATAATGCATATATAATACGATTGTTATTGGTGCACTGAAGAGACGCATAAGCATTGTGAGCAATGAAAATAGATGGGGAGAAACAAAGTTACTGTTCCTATACCAGAATGGAACGATGGGCAAAACAAAAGGCGTTGGGCCTTACAGTCATTGGTTAGGATAGCAAGGAGACGAACAAACATCCCATATCGTAAAAGCAGTTTATAGCAGCAGCGTAAGGCACCAGTTTACAAAACCTGGGCAACTGAAGCTGATTCTCAAGTAGCCACTTCGGAAAACGTCTATCCCACGAAGAGATTTTGCGCAACATACGCTTCCACTTAATTTTCTATTTACAAAAAAGGACCGTAATACACAATTTGTCAACTACTTACTCTCTCCTATTAACCAAGTGCAGCAGCACTATTTGCTACAACAATGCTTACGACGCAACCATGATAGTGATGCAGCTTGTGATCCTTCTGTGCATGACGCCTTCGGTGGAACTACAGTGACTTACCCATCTAGACCTAGCTAGCAACCTTCAATACTCTTGCACCTCTACTCACCAAAACCTACCTTATTTATTGTGTAACTGCAAACCGAAGCATCACAACAGTTGTGCCTCATCTTTCTCCTGGACTTCTTTGTTGGTCACCTGTGTCCCTTCCACCGCTACCGCATGCTTGTGGTGCAAATGCTTGTCCTCTCCATTCGCTTGAGTCGCTTCACCCCGTACCAATTTCAAATGATTTTTCCAACGAGTCATCCAAACAATTTTCCATATGATCATCATGAACTGCTGTGTTGTGCGAATTATTTTTGTATGGACATGTTCGTTGGTTGTGGCCAGCCTGCAATCTTCAACCCATATATCACATGTCAAATCATTTGTGACTGCAAGTAACCACGTCAACTAAACACAATGCTGACATTACACCACTTCAACTTTCTTGCACTGCCAATAACTTTGTATACTTTGTATGCACTTTTAATTATGTGTTTATTTGCTACTGTTGAAAAATACCCACGTAATAATTATTACCTTCACTCTCCATTTCATGTATTTTATCAATTAACAAATTGCTTATAACTACGTATGCATTTTCGATAGTACCTGCAATGACCACACTTTCTTTTCTTCTTTGTTTCTGCATGCTTGTGATCACCTTTAGACCGGGACACCCTGGGATCTAACAGCCCGAATGTTCTTCTACTTCTATCGTTCATCACTCTTGAATCCATTGCAAATCCGTCTCCCCCATATCCCCTTTCAATCCACTTCTCCTTTAGGTCCACAGAATACTTGTCAAACATCTGCTGCAGGTCATTAAATGCATCATCCATATAGGACGCATAGTAACACATACTATTACAGCTCGACTTTAAAGTGCCATATCTGACCATTTGTGTCAGCTGTTCGTCTGCAACAAATGCTTTCATTCCATTATTAGTACTGTAAACTCCCTTTGTCCACCGCTTCGAAATGCATGCTTCTGGGATCCTGTTCATTCCTTCTACCACCATCACGCGAAACATGTGAGCACAAGGAATCCCCTTTGACTCGAATTTCATGCAAGAGCAGATTAGCTTCTCCATTGACCTATCATAAACCACCCTCCAACTAATTTCGTGTCCACCATATTTCGAGTAATAATATGTACGACTCCCTCCATCCTCGCTCCAGCCCTCAGAAATTAGAAGTCCCTGCCTGTTCAAATGCTTCCTCACCATGAAGAACACATTCCTTGTAAACACCTCTGCTGCGCTCCCCTCTAATTCGGGCAGGATTGTGGTTAAGACTGGTTTTGTATTTTCGCTTGTGTGAACTGCTTTGCTCTCAGTATGTCGAAGTCATGCTATTGCCAAATCAAAACTTCTAACGAATTCATATAGTCGCCATAACCGCGTAAATAGGCCCCATAACCTTACCCTACGGTACAACTTCTTCACACACTCATTCTCTACCACCCCACATTCATTAACTAACCTAGCCCACCGATCCTCAAACTCAAGAGTGCTAAACTTTCTCGCCATCAGGTCATACAACCTGTTATTAAACTCCTCGCAGCGAATATTACTCCGTACATTTCTATGCAAGTGCCACGAACATAGCCTGTGACAAGCATCCGGGAGAAAATTCTTTATCTCTCTTCGCATTGCACTGTCCCCATCTGTTATCACTGCTACTGGCTTTCTACCTTTCATAGCCTCTACAAATGTACTTAGCACCCATTCATATGTTTCAATCCTCTCATCTGATAGCAGTGCACAGCCGAAAACAGTACTGTTCAAATGGTTGTTTACCCCTGCAAGTACAACTAGTGGCTTGCGGTATTTATTTGTTTTGTATGTTATATCAAACACCAATACATCTCCAAATACACTGAAGTCCACACGAGATTTAGAATCTGCCCAAAACAACCTTGCCAATCTTCCTTCGTTATCTACATGATATTTATAAAAGAACATGTCATCGGCATCCTTCTTCGCTGCCGAGAACCCAAGTGCCCCTTCTGCATCGCCATTAAAAATATCTTTTCTACGTTCCTCGTCCATTCGGTTATATAGATCCTTAATGCAAAATCCCACGTTACTATACCCTCCGGTTTTGATAACAAAATATTTCATTATCTGGCATATTCTGGCCCCAACCAACTTTAGACTTTTTGCCTACGCATATTCTGCATCGCTCACTTTTCTATGCGACCTAAGGTGTTGCACACTTGCCTCTGATGCCAGCGGGTGATTGTGCTCCATAATGAAACGTGTCACCACATACTTTACAGATTCTGTGTCATATTTCAAGCGAAAGCAAGCCCCACACCCGGTCCTTGTGATTGCTTTTGCTTCTCTTTTCCGGTCTTCATAATTAAACCACTTTTCATTCCTATAACCTTCACAGCAACATACCCATTTTCTAAATCTTGAAATGCCATCTGCATCTCGTTTGGCATTACTTTTACGAATCCCAAATCCGCTTAATTTCGCATACAAATTATAAAATTCCCCAACTTCTTCTTCCGTGTCAAATATTAATTTCATTACGTCATCCACGCCTATTGCGCCCACCAATTCATCTGTCTCCTCATCTTCGTGTCCTCCTATTGAACCATCGCTTTCTTCACTGCATGTGTCTCGGTCACACTCAAGTTCTTGGTTAAGGTCAAATGACATTAACCTGCCGCAACCATCCATCCCCATTTTTCCCTTTTTTGTTTCCTGCACCATGTCATGAGTTTTAAGCACCCCATCCTGCCCCATACTTACAACCCCTGTGTGGTTGTTCAATGCTTTTTCTAACCATGGTCGCTTAACATTTTTTTTTCAGCCTCCCCATATGCTTTCGTTTGTAACATAAATACTGATCGTCTACTAATGGAACAAAACATATATACACGATCATTTCACTTAACAAACCATACTTTACCTCACAACTTTCACAAAATGCAGACGATAAACATTACTCTAACATTCATATACACAGTTTTTATAAGTGTGGCTGATGCAATTATATCAACCTTTAGCACAAAATACCACTATCGACATGCATTTTCATTAACACCAACAAACTCAACCTCTACTGTGTGTTTCTTTAATTCTTTTCACATAACCATGCGCAATGCAGTATGGGGGCCATTATCGATGTCCGCACGGCCATCCAAATCACTCTGTTTTAAGACTTTAGTCCTGTTACAACGTCTTCTTCACGTCTTCACTCATTTCTGCTTAATTTCCTTTACACTATTTAATACAAATTAGAGGACCAACATTTCCTACGTACGTACACAAAGCTCCGTGCACAAATAAACTGTGATAATTTTTCGGTTTCGTTACATCTTTGTTCGAAGACGCAGGGTCTTACACCCCGTATTTCGTATTCCTTATTCCTCTATCATTGTCTCTTACAAGAACTGTAGAAATCACCCTAGTAGACGTACAGGTGTTTTACTCGTTATTTTACTCCTTTTTTCAAAGTTATGGACAAAAGTACTCACCTTTGATTTCTCTGCTTCTGTTCCACGCCGCTGCATTCTGTCACCACAGTTTCGGAAGGGTCTTCCTCAGATATATCTACCGTCACCGCCTGCGCCTGAATTTACGCCAGTATACACCACCTCTGTCTATTCCGCCTTGACTTCTTCTTTACCAAATTTTTGCCTTCGATTCCGACCTCACCACCTGTCTTCAAACACACGCAGCACTGCGGGCCCTAACATGGCTGTGTTTAGTACCTAATACGCTTCCTCTTCGGTGGCCCCAGCATGGCTTTGTTTAGTACTGCTTTCTCTTTTTCTTCGATGTTTTATACAACAGAACCGACACCGACTGTTAATTTTTATGCTTTCGGATAAAAAATTTTGTATTCTACGAAATTGGGTTCTCCAGAACGTCTGATGGACGAAAGCCGTAAACAGCAGGTCGTTTATAAGACAACCGTTTTAACTAAATTTTATCCCATAACCCAACATTTGTATTTAAGGCACGTTGGGTACTCTGTCACTGTAATGGTTGAAAGGCACAAAGAGCTGGTCTTTTACTCACCAACGGGTTTAATTTCTTTTTATCCGATAAATCAGTCTGTCTTTATGCCACCTTTGGTATTATGTTGTTGTAGTGGAAGAAAGCCAAGGGGAGCTGAAACTTTTAAACTGGGACACCCGTTTGAATATAAGATTGACCAATCCAAAATGGATTTAATCTTTAGTTGTAGTGCAGGAAAGCCATAAAGAGCCAACTCTTTATTCAAAAATGCATTCCAATACGGGTACTGCGTTGTTATTATGGACGAAAGAGTTGAAAATTGGGGTTGTTTTAATAAAGTTAACGGGTTTTTTTTTACTCCTTAGCCCATTATATTTATGTTAATTCCGTTTCACCCCAATACATTTCCAACTTTTGTCGTACGCTACATTCACATTTCTAAACCGCGGTTATAGGTCACCACTTACTTTTTTAGAAACATTCCCTTCATCTCCGTACATGTCAGGTTGCTACGTGCCAGTTTTTTTGCCATATAATTTACTTTCCACACCTGTCTTTGAAATATGTGAATACACTACAGAATTTACCTCCACTTCCACAAGGGTTATTATGTGCAAAATTATGATACAATTGCCTAATCCTATCCCATCGACACCATGGCAAACCTATGTCTGCAACTCTATCACAATATTCAAAACTCTCCAAAAGTGCTCACAACAAAATACGGTTAACTTCACCCCCCCACAGGCGTGATGGAATTTACGGCTACTTCATTAGGTTTTAGGGCCGGAGTTGGTTAGACAAGTGGCGAAGGTTCCCCTTCCATCCCCTCGAAGCTCCGATAGGATGGTATGGGCTTTGGCGCAGGATGATGCCTTCTCGGTATCCTCGGCTTATTCCCTTGTTGCGCAGGAGGCTAATTGCTCGTGGGTGTTTCCACAAGTACGGCTGAAGGGTTGTCCAATCAAGATTTCCTTCTTCATGCTAAGATTATTGCGGCTGCGTCTTCCCCTGATGGATCTCATACGAAGATTTGGGATACAGGGCCCGTAGAAGTGTCATTGTTGCTCTGAGACGGGAGAGGAGAGGGTTAGTCACACCTTTTGTATATGGGAATTAGCACAGGCAGTTTGGAGTAGATTCCAGTGTATTCCAGGGGAGTTGGCCGTGGTGTCCATATTGAGACATATGGTGATACGGTGGTGGTTGCATCGAGGGCAAAATGTGTATCTCAAGTTTGTTTATCGTCGTCTACTGATGCTAATCTGTTGGGAACTGTGGAGAGCAAGAAACAGGGGAGTTTTTGATGGGAGGAAGATGGGGTGTACGGAGGTGGCAGAGTAGGTATTTCAACAGCTGCGAGCACTATTTCATTGTCATTTCTCGGAGATAACGAGTTCCTTTGGTTCTTGGGAGGTTTTTCACTCTGCTTTGTCTGGTCTGAGACAGAGGGTTTCGATTCTCTCGGTTAACTGGTTGGCTCCTAGGGCAGGATGTAAGCTGAACTCAGATGGCTGCACTAGAGGAAACTCGGGACCGAGTGGGGGTAGGGGTGTGGTTCGAGATTGGGAAAGGAAGCTCACCTTTGGTTATTCCTGTTTCTTTGGTTCCTTGACAAGTTTACATGCGAAGCTCAAGGCCATGCTTTTTGGGGTGCAGCTATGTGTTGCTCGTGGTTTGCATGTATTGCATGTCGAGGCTGAGTCGCTCGGCTTGGTGCAGATAATACAAGGGCAGCAGGGTTGTCCGTGGAAGCTGCAACGGAAGGTGGATGAATTGCTCAGCTATAAGCGGCACTTACGGGAAATAACACATTACTATAGAGAGGCGAACAAGCCCGCGGATTACCTAGCCAACTTTGGAGCAGATACGGGGCAAGAGAATATTTTTAATAGCCACTGCGCTTTGCTAGCAGTTGTCCGTGGGGAGATTACCATGGACCGTTTAGGTTTTCCTAACTTTCGTAGGAAATTTGTATGACTTTCGCTTATCTTGATCAATAAAATTATATATTAAAAAAAAAAAAAAAAAAAAAGAGTTAGATAATCCACAATAAAGAAGTCTAAACAAATCAATGTAGTTATGTCAATGTTGCTAGCAATGTTTATTTTAAACGAAACAAAATTAGTTAGTGCGTTTGGAATTAAAAATATTTGCTTATATATTTTTTTATTGTTACACTTTTTAATGTGTTTTATATACATGATTAAAAAATAAAAAATGTAATGAAAAATGTATTTAGAGAATCCTCAATTGTTTTTAAAAAATGTAGAATTCAAACAACATACAAAACAAGGTAAGAGTGAGATATAAAAATGCCAAATAGCATCTTATTGATTCGTAAAAATCTTGTGAAAATTGCAAGGTAAACGAAAATTATCAAAATCAATCCGTTTACAATTTAAAGAAAGAAATATAAGTAATGACAAACTTGTGCAGAAGTTTTAGGAATTTTTAAAATTTTTTCTCCACAATATAATTTTGAATTCTTTGGTATTATATTATCTCTTATTTTTTAAGTTTTTAAATCACGTGACTTTGTGTTTTTTCTAACAAGATATTTCATATTCCGATTAAAAGTATAGTATTATTCTAGAACCATTATATAGGGGCATTGATATCATTTTGTTAAAATTTTGAATAGAGAATTCAACATTAATATTTGACTAGTCAATGAAGGGAGTAAAATGCATATATTTAAAGTTGTTGGAGGAGGGAAGGGTTATAAAGAGTCAAGTTCCGAGGACAATTATAATTAACCCTATAAAATAAGAACTTAGGCCTTGTTTGATAACCTAATTCAGCACTTAAATATAATGGATTTAAATTTTAACATATTCAAACGCATTTGATAACAAAAAAAATAGAACAACTGAATTAATTAAGTAACATTGAATTTTGTACGCAAAACTTGATCCAAAAAATAAGTGATAAATCATTCACTTATTATTTAATGCGATATACACAACCCAATAATTTGACGGATTCAAATTTCAGATTTTAAATTTTAGTTTTTAGACTTCAATTTTATGAACGCACTCTTAGACCCAAAAAAAAAAGCCTACAACAAATGA